TAAGTACAAAGCTCCCATTTGCTGGATGAAAGGTGTTACTCTGACCTTTTCCTGCTGTGCACTTTCAATTAGCAAAACTGAACTCAAACTGCTCCAATCATGGGAGGCTTTTAGATGTTTTTAAAGGCCAATGAAGTTGATTTCCAAAATTTTTATGCAACCTTGGGAATGAGAAACCTTTATACCAAGCCAGAATATAGCCACAAAAGTAGATCAAAAAGATTATGTTGCTAAGCTAGGCTCCAACGAAACCTATAGTGGTTCAGGTTAGTGTCGGCTTTTGATTTAGATATTTACTGCCTAAATTTCACTTTGATATTTATGTTATAGTTTTATGAAATCTAAATTACACAGACATATCTATATAAACTTTGACTGATGAGACGGTGGTCAGTGATTTAGATAACAGAGCACATATTCGTGTCAGGATATTTTAAAATGTGCTTTTATTGTATTTGAAAAGCTATTTGTTTTACTAACAGTTAGCTTGAAAGCTAACTTCTGTTTATTTAAAGAGAAGTCATTAAGAAAGTTGAAGAAATGCCTTGCAGTAATTTCCAACCTCCAGAATCTAATTGTATATGAAGAAAATATGGTCTTTAAAAAGTCACTGAGTGGGGGTGCGGTGGTGGCGCAGGGGCAAAGCACGACCCACTTATTGAGGCCTTGGTCCTCGTGCCGGTGGTCACAAGGTGGAGATTAACCAATCAGAGGACGGCTTTGGAGAGAGGGAAGCCATGCTGCTCTGGTCAGCCGATAAGAAAAACAGGATAGTTTTTTTTGGGGGGGGGCACAGTCTTTAAACTGAGAGAGAATCCAAGAATCCAATTTTATTAGGTTCCAGAGATTATTCAAGGTCACTAAAATATGCACACAAGGACATTCTGGACGCTCTCTGTGTGGCATAAGATGCTTTTTTGGCAAACGGTAAGAGTCAGTCAGCTGTAATTTAGAGGATTCAGTCATTGGCTGTTGTTTAACTTGTTAAATTATGAACATTGTCACATTTGTTCATTACCAAATCAAATTTGTATGGAAACAATTCATATTTCCATTCATGAATTTAATCTACTACTCCAAAACATGGATGTGATTGTCCTGCAGTGAATAACTTAACACTGCATCCCAACATGGAGTAGTACCCTAATTGCATCAGTTGGCCCCAGCAGCACAGAAATAACAGGATTCGTGTTAAGCAGTGTGATGTGCTGCTTTTTGTCCTACATACGGTGAGTGCTGACAGCTTAGCGCTGTCATGTCTTGTCACTTTCAAGTTTGGTCCTCGTCTTTCATGCCATCCGGTTGCACTCCGTGTCCCTGCAGCCCTTCAGCTACCCACCCACCCACCACCCAGCTTTTATCCTTTTCACAGCAGAGGCGTATAAATACATGAATGACAATAGCGTGTGGGTGACAGCAGAGATTTTGCAGGCACAAGCACAGTCCGAGAGCGCTTTACAGGCAGCGGCGGCGAGCTCGGCTCCCGGACTGACAATTGGCAAACAGAAATCCCAGAGAGCTTCACTTGTAAACACTCAGCCTGACAGCTTCCCCTCTGCGTTCTTTTGTAATTAAGTCAGGAAACAATGAGTGATTTCCATTCTTTTGCCTGTTTGTGCTTTCAATTATTTTTCAGTGAATGAATTTGTTCGGGTGCTGGAAACATTAGAATGAGCCTAAAGTTGTGACTACAAATTTCCTTTAAAGGAAGGTTTTAATGGAAATTTGTTGCAATTTGTACTTGATCTCCTTTACAATAACTTTAATATATCCTTTAAATTTTAATTTTGAATCAGCTCCAGTCAGGAAACAGCGTTTTATCTACGACAGCAGTTCAAAGAATGTAGTGGGAAAACCGTGACTATATTTTCTTAAGTCTACTTTTAATTGGCTGGTCAAGTTTGTGACAATACCTGTTCTGAAAGTTGGTAAGAGTTGAATGTCTTCATTATCTAAACAGGGAAGGACATAGAATCAGAACAATGGATTAGAAAGAAGGTTTTGCCCAGCAGTCAAAGCAATGGTTGCTGGACTTTGTTCCAGTAAATGTCTTACTTCTGTTAATTTTTTTTGTTTTTGAAGTTCCTCCTAAGCTTTATTCTGTTTTTTCTCCACACTTTCATTTATTGAATGTCACAGGACAACTTTGGGAGCGTTGGTGGAGTGTCATGGGGAAGATCAGAGGGTTCCTGGTTTGTCGCATAAGGGTCATGAGAATGTCCCACCTGCACTGGGGTACGTCACAGCAGGGACGGGTTGGTGTTTTGGTTCCCTGTGTTTCTCTCTCCATATAGCCTAGGAACTGCTGTTTCCTGTGTTTTGCCATCAACTTGCATCTGTGTTGTGTGGCTACTCTGTGGGGTCCCTGGTGTTTGTCTGCCTGGGGCTGCTGGGGGCTCTGGGAGCCAAGGTTACCTGCCCATTGCTGCTCGTTGACTTAGAGCTGCAAGGTTTGTATTTTTCTCACCACTGTAAAATGCTAATAGATGAAACATGGCTTCATATTTTTCTGTCTACTTCGATGTCGGATGCAACCCTGATTGAACAAAGTCAATCAAGCAATGCAGTTACCATCTCCGGCTGTCGTTTTTGACATGAAGGTGGGAATAAAATAATCCAATTTTCACCATGCAATGGTGAAAACAATGAGAATCAATTTCGGCAGTACGGCCCAACCTTTATTCTGGTGCCCACATGGTCTACATCACAACTTTGATGTCATGATGTAGACCATGCAGTTAGAGAACTAGTGCACCAGGTTTGGGTGCCCTCTAAATAACATGGTATGTTTCCAGCACCAGAGATGAAAAACCCATTACTGGTCCTGTTCTGTGAGATCAAGCTGTTGCAAATTGGACCTGAAATGAGCCTGAGGAAAGCAACAGCGTTCATGTCGGGTTTCCTTCCCATCTCTAGCTCTCTGTCGAAAATTCCCATTAGCTGCTTTAGGCAAGGCGTAAACAAAAACTTCATTTGCCTCAAGCGTCGATACGATACGTGAAACTAATTTCGATCAGCTCTGGTCAAACGTGACAAATCGACAGCAAAATTGCAGCATCATCCTCCCCTCCATTCGGCGACGAAAAGATATTAGCTCCTCTTTCAGTTTTAATTTAAAGTATTTTTGTGTATTGAAGAAATGTTTTTGTGTTTTCGCCCCTCAGCAAAGACTGACAAATAATCCACGAGTCAATTAGAAGACGAGGTTTCTCAATTATTTATAATGACTTCCTGGAGGGCCGTTACAAGTAAAATAAATCCTCTGTTGGTGGACGTCTCATTTTGTTGTCTTGCTAACTTATTCACACTTTTTTTTGTGACGTTCACCTCCAGCACGGAATGAAATATTTTGTTTTTGCCTGCAGGGTTTGCTCCAGAGCATTTGTGAATTCTGTTCTCCATTTTTCTGCATTTTCATACCTTGCTCTGCTCAACCCAGCACCTCGTATATCACATGGTGCTTGTCTTTACTGAAGGTTAGAAAGGAGAGACAAGAGGGCCTTTGGAGACGCTCCATAACAGCCTCTGAGGAAGCATCGTAGGTGTTAAAATACATGCCTAAGATTATAATGTTTCGCTGGTTACTCAAAAAAAATCACTTCGGAATGACTAATTCTGCTATTGACTCGTCAAGGAATAAGATTCAAGCTCTTCAAATGCATAAAGAGGGATAAAGAAAAAAATAGCAACGAAAGAGACAGCATCCCTTGTGAATACAGTCAAATCGAAGTCTACGGGGGTTGATCCAGCCTCCAGAAGTTCAAACTAAATTCACAGACTGGGATGAGAGCTGAAGAGTCATCACTGCTGCAAAGCGCCGACTTTAATCGCTTGTTCAGAAGCCAATAACAACGGGAGTACACCTCTTTTTCCTTCTATGCTTCAGAGAAACGATATTGGCTTGTGTAAAAACAGAAACACATTATTCTTCCCCAGGCAGTGCAGATGTCCATGCAGACTTTTTAATATTTTACAGAGAGAACACGGAAAACACAACAGTGTTTTGTTGTGGTAATGAATATCTGTTGAAGGCTGGGGAGCACTCAAGGCATTACTTTAAGAAAATGCTCTCCGAATTAGCCTCTAAAGCTATCCCACTTTGTACAGTAGTTTCACAGTCTTAAGGGGATTTAACGCTGTAGTTCGGAGTTATACTTTATCATTTTATCTTGTCATATAACCAATATTCTTCCTGATTTCTTCAAGTAGCAATTCTCCACATTTCCTAGATCCTCATTAGCTTTAGCTGTAGTAGATTTAGACGTTTACTTTTCTTTAGAAACTAAACCAGAAAAAAATGTTCAAAAATACACCAAATATGGAGTGATTAAACTCTGTTAAAACAATGTTAAGGTTTGTAAAGCAACTTCATTTTAATATCAGACTAATAGAACCTAAGTAAATGAAAAAGTGCAGGGGGGAAAGTAATTGGCTCCTTGAAAGCTTTCATTAGGGTTAGGGATAAGGCCAGTTGGTGAAATAATGGTTTTGAGATTGTGAACAAGAAAAAAAAAAGCAATTATGATCACTCTTGCTTGCAACAAATCACTGAAAAACCTGAGAAAACTTTGTTGTCATAAAGATAAGTGTTTTGTTTAAACTAAACTTAATTCCATTGGATTATAGAATTATATTTACATTTTCAAAGTACAGAAAATGGGAACATTGTCCATTTTAAGGATCAGAAAGCCCCGTCTATTTGCTGTGTGCCTTTGCTGTTGAAATAATTGGAGAGACCCCGTTCCTTGGCACAAATGTGCAAAATGGATGGCTGGGGCCAAATTGCAGGGAGAGGGGTGAAATGGAATTGGACCTTTGCCAAACAGAGCCTGAGATGAAGGTCTGAGATGAAGATGAAGGTCATTTTAAAATGTAATCCAAAATATCATGGAGAAAACCACCAACACCAAACCTCCAAGTAGAAATTATGAATGTTTTATACTCCACTAGGTATTTACAGCAGTAGGATTAAAATTAATAACTATGATTTTAATGAATGCAGGCCTTAAGGCTCAATGTTAACCTTTTCATTTATTTAAGCCAAGAATATTTTATCCGAGTTCTGCGAGACGCTGGAGCTCGGTCTGTCTGCACTGTGCCAGCTGCTTGCCAATTCCTACATCATCTGTCATGTCAGCCTTTTCTTTCACCAGCAGGATTCTGTACTGGGTGGAAAAAGCACAACGTCAACCGAATGGGAAAGCAACGCCTGTGTTGCACCCAGCTGTGCCTATCTTCCTGAAGTGCAGACAGATCATTTATTCTGTTTCTAACCATTGTGTAGGAATGCTCTCATTTTCTCTTCACATGTTGCCTCGTAAAACATGAAACGAGTCAGATTGATGGCTGCTAACATAACTCACTGATGAAGAAGAATAAATAAGGAATAGAAAAGGTATACAGTGTACCACAAAAACAAGGAAACAGACAATCTGACATAGAAGTTGGAAAGTTTGGTCTTTAAAGGCTGGTATTCTGCATGTAGAAAACAAAACTTAGGATAAACTTGGTGGCTAACCCTATGACCAAGTGTGATTTTTCAGTGTGGAGAACCTGCAGAGTCAATGGCAAGATGGTGGAGAAAGTAAATAAGGTTTTATTTGAACAAAACGAAGAACAAGGCACAGCTAAAGCAAACAGAGTCTCGCATGAGAAAACACCACTGGCAATGCAGACACAAAGACTTAGCTGAGAATAAACAGAGAAACTCGTGAGGATATACTCAGCATGTATACTAAGGGAGGATAATGACAGATGCACTCTGCACGTGGTATAACCAAACTTAACTAGAAAACACAAATTAAGTAGACTCTGAAAACAAAAGCTAGTATGGTTATAAAACAGGAGGAACCAGAAATAAATTAAATTGTTACAGCACCAGAACTGTGTCAATTTTGAGCATAGGTCCGTGTACAGAAAATGTTACTTCTGTTGACATTGTCTTCTGCTTAAGACATTTTTAAAAATGCAGTTAAAAGTCTTCAGCTTATCCAAATTAAAAAGAGAATTATTTCCCTTGATGCAGTTTATTTCCTCCTGTTGATCAAAGAAAGAAACGGCAGCTTGTTTTCATAACCATGTGCAAAACTCTTCTGTTTCCATTCACCACAAAACGGTGCAAATTGGAATTACAAAAATATATTTGCTTGAAAGAAACACTACAATTTAGAGAAAAACTCATGTTTTTCTATAAAAATATTTTGCGCTTTGATGAGGTGTTTTTTTTTAGCTCGAAAAGTGATCAACAGATCAAAATGTGATCAACAGCCAGATGTCACTACTGGTGGAAATGACGAAGAAGACAACGGGAAGTGGTCGGAGGAAGATGGTGCAACGTTTTTTTTTATTATAATTAAAATCAAATTATTTTAATTGTGCTTAGCTAAATGCCTCAATTGTGAATGTTTTTTCAACATTAGAGGAATATTTTGCGCGTATTTGTAATGGAGCCGCAGCTAGCATCAAGCTAATTTTGATTTCCTGCTAAAACAGGCTCACAAGGATTTCTCTAACATGAAAAAACTTTCTGTGGTATGAGCATTTAAACTCAAGATTATTTAAAATATAGATAAACATACTTAATACTTTTAAACAACAAAATCAATGCAAGTGCAGTAAGAATCCAAAGAAATTACATGATCTCATGCTTTGTTATGCAGATGCTCTGTCTGCGCTGATGAACATTGATCCAGTATTGCTAGCAGAAGCTGCTCAAATTGACAGCATCCTGTTCTACTTCCTAGATAATTCAGCTTTTAGTTATTTGACAACTTGGTTGTCAAATAACTAAAGAGATGTAGATGTAGACCAGGAATACACCCCAGGTCTACATCTCAAATGTAATTTCACCAAGTCAAACTTCTCAGATTTGTATGTAATTATTACATTTAAAAAACAACAAAATTACTCAATTACATCACAGAAAAAAAATAGCTGACAAAAATATTGACCTGACAACCCAGCTCTCGTTGCCATCCTTTGCCTTAGCGCTCAGGTGGTTTCTATGACTTCCACCGCCACTGACGGCTGTGCCGTTCGAGTCAGTCTGACGACCTGACATGGAAAGAACACCTCGAGGTCACCACTTCCACCTGAACTGGACGTCAGTTTGAAGCAAGGAGACACATTTGTCACAAGAACCAGTGATGTCCTTCTGTTTTTGTGTTTTCTCACTTCTGAGAGCACAGGTTGGTCTTTGCGCAATCTGTCATTTAGTTGCTAAGAAACTAAAATCAAAAGAACATTCTCTGCGGTTTAGTATGTGACACCGTCCTTGCACATAGAAAACGATGTCTGGAGTTTGGAGGTTGTATCGACCTGAGATAGGTAGGCTGATGCCGAAGTTTAGAGCGTATAAATATGAAAATTATGTGCATATGTCTGAGGATCAAAGGGATATCCTCCTCAGTTATTTTCAGCTTTTTGACAAGACTGTCTTAAAATTTCATTAAGCTGCAATAAGTAATCACTTGGCCTGTTTTTTGTGAGGGAAGAGAGATGAAATCCTATTCTGGCATTTGTTTTGTCTGTGCTGGCCATCTCCAGGCCAGGACCAACAGCTTGCTGTACTTGGCAACGGCTGCGCATACATTTCCTACATCAGAGGGAAGTGTGAAGAAGTGTCGGTATAACAGGTTTATGCTCTCATCTCTGGTAAAGTGTCTTTCTTCCCGTTTCTGTGACAGTTCAAGAAGTGCTCAGGTCGATTTGGAGTGACCAGCAAAAGGTCAAATAGGCTCTTGAGACTAATGAATAATAATAATACATGAATAAACCCAAATAGTGTCACAAAACCTTAAAAAATAATGTGAAGCCAGTTAAACAAAAATGTTTAGACGTGAAGTAAAAGGAGGCTGGGCATATTGATTTAAATGAAGGTTTATCAATTGGTTAATTGGTTGAAAGTACGACTTTTGGTATTCCAGTTTTTTTATTTACACATTTCTCTTAGTGTTTTTAAATCCCGAATGTTTCCAGATAATTTGGCAACAAAAACATAAAGAAGCAGATTGCCAGGCAGAGTATAACATCCATATCTGTGAAATGTGAAAGTAAATAGATTGGTGCCAGTTTAGGCACACCTTAAGAAGATTATTATCTTCTTCCATGCTAAATTCAGCCTTTGTTAGCACGTTAGCATCCATCATAGCATCTGTAGTGACAAATATATTCTTAAAAAAATAAAAGATGGCATTCTGGCATTTCATATCTCCTCCCCTTAATTTCTTAGAGATGGTGACGCTTCAAACCAAATTACTTGCTAATGCTAGCTCTTCTTTTAGCAACAAAGAACCCTTACTCTCACTTTGTGTTGAAACCACTGTATTAAATATATGTCAGCATGGGAATAGCATAAACCAAGGTTCACTACATGCTAAAGAAGATTAAATATGTGAGTGAAAAAGTAATGAGAAACAAATCAGTGCTGTTGATTGTTTCTAAAAATATCCACATGCATCATCAAGGAGTCCAATCATCTAAACGTTCATTAATTTGATCATTACAGCAGCAATAGTTCTCATATTGTTAACAAGAAACCTGTCAGGCGCCTTACATGCAGAGTCTCAGCTTTAAATGTAAGCTTTTCATGAAACCAAATTAAATTTAAGTCCAACAGTGAGATCTGGATGATCTTTTAATTAGGGATACTCCACTGGTTGAAATAATTACTGAAAGCAGCTGCACTGACCGAGAGAGTTGGCACGAATCAAACACCAGCTCCTGGTGATTGATTAATCCTTGTCTTATTATGTAAGTACAGTCATAATTTGTCTCGCAGCTGGATTCAAACTTTCTGCTTATCTCATGCTGCTTTCTAAATCATATTGTAGCTTCATAATGAATTTTCACTCTTTATTGGAGAACGGCAGAAGGAAAGAAAAGAATGATGATGAAATGCTGCAGCAAAAGGATCTTTTCTTGTATGAAAATTGCACGTTAATACCCGTTTCAAAAGTCAGAATTATACATTTTAAACTTATGAAATGAGAGGGAACTTTATATCAAAACACAGCATTAATAATTAACTTGTGGCATTTGATTTCCTGCCAGTGCTTCAAACAACAACCAGCTATGGGGTTGTTAAAACTGGAAGAGTATAAATGGCAAATAGTATCATACCAAGAGATAAATCCAAACTTTCTGTTAAATACACATAGGTTTGTTTAGCCAATGTGAAGCATAGAAAGGCAATAAACAAGTAGAGAAAGGAGCAGGAATACACCCCAGGTCTACATCTCAAATGTAATTTCACCAAGCCAAAGTACAAAAAACCCATAACGGCGTTTCAGAGCGCAGATCAACACCAATGACCATGTGGGAATCAAATTAAAGAGGCTAAAGAAATCAGCTGTAGCACTTTTTTGAGCTGGCGCCACGGGTGATGTCTTCCAAACTGGGAGAAGTGGACATGCTGCTCACATCCTCCTCGCTTCCCTTTGCCTTCTGATTTACTCCCAGCTCCGTTGCCAGGACTCTTGGAGCATCTTGGAGATGAGGAGGAGGGGAGAGATCATCTTTCATCTGTGTTGACACGTCATTATGAAAATGGAGTCCTCTCTGGCCACGCCACATGGCTTAGCGGCCTCTTGCTGCTGGCTCCGTTCACCAACCCCAATGCGAGCCAACAGGACTGTCAGAGGATACTCCCTTGGCTTCGGAAAGGCAGAGATTATGTGCATAACAACGGAGTGACAGATAGCAGTGGAGAAAGAAAGAAAACAGGCCTGTACTGTACAAATTAAGCTTGCACTTCACACTTACTTGCTATTTCGCGTTCATCTAAAAGGTGTCAAACTGAAGGCCTGGGGGCCAAATCTCAAAAGGACAATGAAGATTATTTTTTAAAGTTAAATCAAAGTGATTTCAACAGATTTTTCCACACTTTTTCGCATTAATTCATAATTGAGTTTATTGCAAACTTTCTCTAAAAATGGGTCAAAAACATCAAGTTCAAGCAATGCTCACTCCAACCTGCAGGTGGCAGTGTTTCTTACTTCTACTACATTGCTTCCTCAGACTTTCATGATGTCAGGTTGTAGTCTGGGATCGACGTGGAGAGCGACAAAAAGCCACATTTACCATCATACATAAGCAAAAATATCACAAAATTCCTTGCAAACATTTCTATAGCAACACTACAAAAAAATAGTGGCTTGGAT